AAAACTCTTTACCAATGAATCTAGCTCTGAATTCTGTCAGCCCAGAATTGTCCCACACTTGGATTACCCAACGTCAGCTCATTGCCTTGGTTGCTTCCATGAGCAGCTGCGTGAAAACACCAGGCAGGTTACTCAGAAATCATCTAGTCCAGCCGTGGAACTACAGCCCGCGGGCCAGATCCAGCCCGTTTGAAATGAAAAAAACTAAAAAAAAAAAAAAAAAAAAGACCGTACCCTATTATGTAATGATGTTTACTTTAATTTATATTAGTTCACACAAACACTCCATCCATGCTTTTGTTCCGGCCCTCCGGTCCAGTTTAAGAACCCATTGTGGCCCTCAGTCAAAAAGCTTGCCCACCCCTGCTCTAGTCCACGGTGCCTCTCCCCATGACCCCGCCTCCACCCCAAGCCCTTCCTTCCCTGACTGTTATTTGCATTCATGCCTCTCAACTCAACGCAGGTAGGAACTGGCCTTTCATTGCCCCAGTGAGGACTTCACATTCAATAGCAGGGGCTGAAGCCACCTGGTAAGACAGCAGGAGTCCTGTTCCATAGCCTGGGGTTCCGGTCCCTGCAGCCTTCCAACCTTCCATGTTGTCAGCAGGGAGCTCTGTGGACGGAGGCCCCAGAAAGTCCAAACCTGCGGTGCTGCCTGGGCAGTCACAGTTCTGCTGGCACATCTTGGACAAGAAGGAGCTTGCCGAGGCGCTCCCCCGTCCCCCCCGCCCGCCCCCAGTGCTCTTCCCACTGCTTTCCACTGTGTGCTCTGTTGGCAAGAGGCCACAGTTTCACTACCTCCAGCGGCAGCTTATGGGGTAAAGTTTACTGGGCACCCGTGGAATGCGGGCATGAGACCAGTCCCCGGAGCCTAGAGCAGACTGTCTGTGTAGAATCTAGGAGTTTATCGTTTTGTTGCACGTTATTATGCTTGGTCATAATTATCCCGCATTTGGAGAGAGACAGGCTAAAAGAGAAATCCTCCTCGGACCCTTATCCAAAGTCTAGCTAGGCCCTCAGTGCGTCTCTTTCAGGATTAGTTTGACCCCAGGCCTGTCTCCCACCGCCAATTTACACCTCTTATCTTATCTGATCATTTCAGACAGAAGGTTGAATTGCCCGAGTCCGCCCGTGTCCGTGGCAGTTAAGCCCCAGCGCGATCGAAGCTCTCCGGGCGGAGGCGGGTGTTGGGAGGAGATGAGGGGTGTGGGTTCTTTTGGCCCGAAGCGCTGCGGACCCTGAGGCTGGGAGCTGCCACCATCTGAAGAAACCCATTGTCAGGGCCTGAATGATTTCCTGAGCGTAACCTAGTCCCCTGCGGACCACGATTAACTCTAGCAAAGGGGAGTTTCGTGGCAAGGCGCTGACAGCGAATGGCTAGCGCCAGGGGGCTCTCCTCTCTGTCTGAAACCGAAAGAAAGGAAGGGAGGGGAGGGCGGGGGAGGGAGGCAAGCAGTGAGCACACGCTAAGAAACCAGAGCGCGCATTCCCTCTCCTTCCAGACAGATCAGCCGGAGCCGCAGGAGCTGCGACACGGAGGAGCCGGATTCCCGGAGCTTGCCCTGGAAAGCTGACCCCCACCCCCGCAGCACCCCCCTGATTCCCAGGGGTCGCCAGGTTCTCTCCGCCACCATCCCTCGCCAGCCCTAGGGCGTTAG